TATGTGAAACGAGTGGAAACGACTGCGTGAGGTCTTATTTGGATTATCTATAGTTTGTTGATTTGCCAGCAGTTAATACAGTCTGCTGTTTCCAGTTCGGAAATCTGCGTGTCATTCAAGACAGTCAAAATTTTCACTTCAAGAAACAAAAGACATGGGGCCTGATTTCCTGAAAGATTACAAAAAAGGGGCGCAAGGGGTGGAGGCTGATCTACTAGCGTGGGGAATCCAGGATTATGTTTCATTCTGTTTTGATACATTCTAATCTGAATACATAGCTCCATGTAAACCCAGCTATTTTTCAGCAATGCAAATTTGGAGCTTCAAAATGAGCGAAGGACTGGTTGAGCCAGTCACAAGAAGGAGTTATGCTATATCACCTATGACAAAACTGGGGATTCACTCTTCAATTCTTTGCATCTAGCTCTGTCCCCAGCAAAAATTGGTGGTTGCTTCTCTCAAGTTTTAATGCAATCTTACTCAATCCTACAATTTGCTTTTGTGAAGTTGCTGTCCATCCCCGAAATATTGGAGTGATAGATTTCTTTTGTCTAATTCAGGAAGTGTTTGTTTATCCACAACACTTCTAGTTCCATCACTTCAAACCTGATTTTGCTCTTGTTATGCTTTCCCAAAGTTCTTATGATCAAAAATCATCAGTGACTTACCTCAAGCCCCTTCCCCACTGAGCGGCGAACAATAGTGAGTTTCTTCAAAGGCGGTGAATGTTGCATTCGCATCAGGATTCGTCAGGGTCCGTTCAAGGTCGCAAATGGCTGCCAGACGTTCACCTGTACTTTTCTTGTTGCAATAATTTGAGTTGTCATGGGTGCCCACAGCCCATGCTACTGAGTATCGCCCTACTGGCCGGTTATTCTAAATGGTACCTTGATCATATGCTTCAGTGACTTGCCAAATGTGTCCTTCATTGAGGGAATCGCCCAAAAGATCCAGTGTGGCTTTTGGCCAGGGGTGTCAAACTCATTTCACATTGTGGGCCACATACGGCCTCGGTAGATGTCAAGTGGGCCGGACCATAAAAATTATACCATACTCTGCTATAAATAACCAAAATAATAGGTTTTTCCTTTGTTTTGGTATAAAGAAGAACAAGAACATTGGTAAAATGTTGACATTTAATGAACATATCTTTTACAAAATATTTCATGAAGCACCTGAGATTTCCTTCGACAAATGTGCAATTTACTTTTATCATTCACATATATGCATTGCAGCTGATCCCACTGATTGTACAAAGGCACAAAACTTAAACAAGTAATTGGTATTGAAAACTATCGTAATGCATTTTAAGATTAAATGAGATTTATAAAGAAAGGAATTCACACATGTGCATATAAAATCTAAATTTAATTCCTGCCTACACCTTACAAACTACGGAGAGTGCTATTAAATGTGTAAAGAATAAAGTATTCACATGTCCTTGATAGCGTCTGCTGTGTTGGGTCTGTCTCAGTGACAGACAGGGACTGCTGTTGTCTTCTTCTCTGATCAAAACAATGTTGTCTTTTCCTCTGACCAAAACTGTGTCTCCCCTGAGCGGATAATCCACGAATTGCACCTTATTAAAAATATTCATTCCGTGTCTTTTATGTATTTTTTCACTTTTAAATGATCCAGCGGGCCTGATCGAACCTCCTTGGGGGCTGGTTCTGGCCCGCGGGCCGTATGTTTGACACCACTGAAACATATAATCAAGGTACCATCTAGAATCTAGATGGTACCTTGATTATATGTTTCAGTGACTTGCCAAATGTCTCCTTCATTGAGGGAATCTCCCAAAAGATGCAGTGTAGCTTTAGGCCATTTAGCGAGGTTCATAATTGAAGCATAATTAACCGTGAAGACCTGTTTCTTTTTTTGTAGTCTGAAGAGGGTGTTACATCTACAGTAGCCCCGCCGCCTCCCCCAAAAAACACTTAAACATACCCTCACTAGCCACAACATTAGCTGCGCCGATAACAGAGCTGCGTCACTCTATCGAGAGAAAAAAACAAAAAAACAATGCATTGTTTTGCTTGACGCTGTCCAACAGGCCCAGTAACCATCTTGGCCAAGGCTATGTTTTTGTTGCCTTTTTATTTTAACCTTCATTTGCAATAGTATGCCAAAATTATTTGATTTCCTCTAAACTCTGTGAGTGGCCATTGACCAATAAAGAAAGCATGCAACTGCAACGATCGACAATTTTAAAGTAAAGCTTCATTGACGAATAGTCAACGTTATCATTAAAAATGTTTTGTTTTTTTTATGTTATGGTCCAAAGTAGAATCTTTGATATAGCTCCTGTATTTCATCACATGACATTGGTGGTCAGTGAATGTATTTGCATGCAAATCACATGTGAAGCCACTTTTAAGAATTCGAAGAAACAAACATCAACAGAATGCTTGTACATTCCGATTTAACCTGCTACCATTCCCTTTTTTTCCCCTTTGTTATCTATTCCCATTCTGCCACCACGTTGATTCGTCTTCCTTCAGCCTCCTGCTACGTGTACTGTGAAGCTAGGCAGCTGTTCCATTACTTATGCATAGGTATCATAGGTATTCATGTGTGCGCACAGGATAGGGTGCATCCGGAGCAGAGGTCGAGGCCCCGACATGACAAACAGGGTGTCAGCAAGGCTCTGCAGGAACCATTAATATGCTGGCGACCGACAGGGATCCTCACCTGCATGCACTTAATATTCCTGTATATTAAACAACCATAAATCAGTGGACATAAGCACTGAGAACTGTGTGTGTGTGTGTGTGTGTGTGTGTGTGTGTGTGTGTGTGTGTGTGTGTGTGTGAGTCTGTGAAAAATGCATTGTGTTTAGGAAGATGTGCACATCGCTATGTGTTGCACCAAGAAAAGACTGTATGTAAAGAAATGTCGATTTTGAAAAAATCAAACAAAAATTACAAGATACCATAAAGGGCACAGAAAAAAACAATTAAAAATGGTCTCATCCAGGGTAAAAAGCAATGCTCTAAAGCAGTGGTTCTTAACCTGGGTTCGACCGAACCCTAGGGGTTCGGTGAATCGGTCTCAGGGGTTCGACGGAACCTCTGCCATGGAGGTTAAGACACACCCGGCTCAACATGTCAATTAGTTATGGCACGCCCACTTGGCCATCACTGGCTGGTTCATTTTGTGCAAAATTTAAAAAAAAGTATACTTGTGTCTTGAAATATTTTTTTTCCTGTTTTTAATAAATACGTTTTTTAATGTCTTGAATTTGTCCCCCAAAAAATCATATTTTTTATTTTTCACGAATGAAGGGTTCGGTGAATGTGCAAATGAAGTGGTTACGTTCGGTACCTCTAACAAGGTTAAGAACCACTGCTCTATAGTGAACAAAGAGGACTCTGTGTTTGTCGACTGTGTTTTTGTGGATGTAAAAATGGAATGTAATCTAATCATGTGTTTTTGTGTGTACATTTGTACGTGTAGGGATATTGGTGGGCATGTAATCCTTATTTTCCTGATGTACCCGTGCAAAAAGGCTGTTCGAGCCTCATTTGTCTAGGACAGACATGGCTTTCTCGGCTCATTACTTGCAACTTTGCGGAGATTTCGTAAATACTTTTAAACGGCCCCACACGAATGATTAAATGGATATAATTATCACAACCCCAGATTTTTTTAATGTCAAGTCAATACTGTGTAAGTATAAATGGTTATGATAATTGCAGTGCAAGTTAAGTTCCAGCGAGGCTTTTGTGTGCATGGGCAATGCACTACGTTATGCATTACAGACTCCTTGAGGTGTCAAGACTTCATGCGTCCATCTATGTCTGTGATCAAGGCAAGTGTATTGCATTGAGTTTAGCAGAGGGTGTGTGTGTGTGGGTGTGTTTGTGTGTGTGTGTGTGTGTGTGTGTGTGTGTGTGTGTGTGTGTGTGTGTGTGTTAGATCCTATCGTTCAAATCAGTGACAGACACTTTTCTAACAGAGGTCATTAAAATCACTCCCAAGGCATCTTAGGAGTGCATGTAAAGGGAGTGTAGAGTGGGTTTGCAGGGCAGGGGGCTCATCTTTTCCAGTGCTCCACACCCACTCCTCAGTAGTCCTCATGTGATCTTTTACTAATCTATTAAGACATTATGAGCTGTAGTGGTCTAGGGCCAAGTCACCATGGTATCTCAGGAATCAAAATGTAAAAGTGGGGCCAAGAGATTAAAATACTACAGATGGCCGATTACTGTAGTATTGCAGTGAGGTTTTCTCTTTAGTCCCCGATATCTCTTAGCTCATTGCACGGGGTCGGAGTAAAGGGTGATTAAATATGAATAATTAACTCTCATGCCCCCCGACTGGGAGGTAGCAGAGCAGCTCTGCGATGGCGGCAGTCAGCCAGATCACACATGGCCCCCGTAGCAGTCCAATGTGTAACTATCTCATTCATTAGACACACCAACAGCACACACGCAGTGATATCTTCGCCATGGGATCCTGCATGAAGATGATAGGGCATGGGGGGGAACCCCCATGCAAATTGTCGGGCTCGAGTTTTGTCTTTCCAGGACAGTTTTCTTTAAAAAGACTTCTGTACGTGTCTGGCTGTATTTGTCATTTGTATTTCCATGCAGGGAGGTTTGTGTCTTTAGTGAATGAGTAACTTCACTATCTGTTAGACCCGTGGGCTTTAAGAGTCAACAATGTCAAGTGTAATCACCGCTGGAAAACCTTTGTCCTACATAGACATTACAATTATTGAGTTCACCTCTATAAAGCTATTTATCTGTGGACTAATTCTTTTTCACATTATTTCCATGTGGAATCAAAGCGGACATGTTTCCACAACAAATCAAAAACACGGAGAACCTGCCAGAACAATAAACAACAAAAATATGAAATTTTGCCATTAATTCATTCAAATGGCATTAGGGGTCAAGGTGAAAATCATACAATATATTTCCAAAATACACAGATTTTACACTCATTTTACTATGTTCATTTTTGGACAAAATCCGAAGAACAGGATGTTCACAGAATGGCTAAAATGTAGTTGTAAGAATGGTTTTTTTTAACCCCTTTATTTCTTCCCATCATTGTGCTTTTTGCAGCTGTGCGAGCAGATCGCATGCGAGGAGGACGCAACAAGTTTGGCCCCATGTACAAACGTGACCGGGCCCTCAAGCAACAGAAGAAGGCGCTGATCCGAGCTAACGGCCTGAAAATCGAGGCCATGAGCCAGGTGATGCAGGCTGTCCCCACCGACCTCACCATCTCATCGGCCATTCAGAACATTCACTCAGCTGCCTCCAAGGGCCTGCCACTGAGCCATCACGCTGGCCACCACACCAGTCACCACCATCACCATCACCATCATGCCACCGCCTTACCCCCAACAGACTATGACCGCAGTCCTTTCGTCACCTCACCAGTCAGCATGGCAATGCCACCGCACGCCGGCAGCTTGCAAGGCTACCAAACAGCCTACGGACACTTCCAAGGCACACGCACCATTAAGTCTGAGTACCCAGATCCATACACCAGCTCCCCCGAGTCCATCATGGGCTACGCCTACGTTGATGCCTACCAGTCGGGCTCGCCGCCCAGTTTCCCCCACTTGATCGTAGAGCTGCTCAAGTGTGAACCGGATGAGCCTCAGATTCAAGCAAAGATCCTGGCCTACCTGCAGCAGGAGCAGGCCAGCCGGGGCAAGCACGAAAAGCTCAACACCTTCGGTCTCATGTGCAAGATGGCTGACCAAACGCTCTTCTCCATCGTGGAGTGGGCTCGCAGCAGCATCTTCTTCCGTGAACTCAAGGTGGGTGTGTGCATGATCTTGTGAGTGTCAAAATTGATTTCAAGAGTTATATTCAAAATGGTTAAGTCCAAATATGTGGTTCTCTGCATGCTTTACACGAATGACCGGCCATGTACAAAAGGCAATGGAAAAATGTCCACGGACGTTCATTCAATCACTCGATGCAAGACATGTCTTTAATCTGCCTCTCATATGCGCTGGTTCAACACCAATCTTCACAGGGCTGTGGACGCACACTGTCCTAATAACCGATCAGCAATTCAGCAGCCACTCATATTTTCCTCTAACATGACACATTTTGGCTATGGGCTGCAATAACTCCTGGTCCTTTTTCACAGGGTCGTAGTCTGGGTGATTTATCTGCCCATGAGTGATTCCTCTGATCTGACTGTGCACACTCCATGTGATGTATCACTGGTTAGCATATTGACTGAAGAGTCAGAGGAGTTACAATAACAGCAAATGTGATCTGAAAGCAGATCAAGACTGACTTGATCCCCGCTAGCAGCACTGATGTGTCCCAGGGTTGGTGCCCACAAAGGCACTACCGTTTTTGTACCGTTGGACACTTGATTTTTGCACCTTGGCAACATAGCAGGATTTATTTATTTATTTATTTAGTTAGTTAGTTAGTTAGTTAGTTAGTTAGTTAGTTAGTTAGTTATTTAAATTAGTCCTGTATAAATTGTATTTTAAGGGACATCATTTGACTCTACCACAGCGAGTAACCCGGTTGACAAGTCACTTATAGGGTTGGAGTCATCTTTGGTACCGTGTCGTGTAGCAAACATGATGTGAGCCATTTTTCTGCATTAAATTATCCTACACAGAGCAGTATGCTGTGTTATTACAGTAATTCCTGCAATTAAAGGACATTCTTATATTTCTCCATCAATGTGCTAACTGAGCTTGGTTCTTTATTCAAGCCCCTAATATGCTCCCAATTCTCACCTATTGTACTTCTTTGGCATACGAACGAAGTTGTTTGGAATACTGCTCGGAAAACATACTACCTGCTGTGCTCATTACTACGACGTAGTACAGTTGAAAGCCACTTAAAATTAACACTGAAACATTTAACGCTTTTTGCAAGCCACTGAATCGGTTTGAAAGTGCTTCATGTCCTAATAATAATCAAACATCAGACTTATTGTTGCAGCAACCATTGCAAATAAACCTAGGCTCTCTATGTTGAATCAAACAAAGTCCAATTTGAAAACATCCGAGAAGATCTCGAAAAATTTGTTTGGAGTTACAGACCAAATGTCCTTATCCATACCTACCTGGTTGAGACAATGTCAGTGAGGATACAAACCAAATGAATCTATTTTCCCCACACACAACAATGAGCCCATACGAATATTTCAAGTGCAGGTGCCACTGTGGTTTTATTTTCCTTCTCAATGAAGGTCAGTATTTTTAGCGGCATGGGCTTTGGGTTTCATCAGTCGGAGCTTCGCCTCATTTTACGTACTCCTGTTGTTGCAACCTTTTGTCTAGCGTAGCACGTTGCCAAAGGCTCAAATGCATATTATTAGGCTGGGGGCAGTAATAAAATTACCTCCACATATTGAATGTAATTTTATTTTCAGATGGCAAATAATACATGCAATAAATTCTTTTTTTTTTTTTTTTTTTTTTAATATATAAAAGGGAGCCAATTACAAAGTCCTTGAAAGCACATGTTGACATTTAGCATGCTGTGTGTCGCGGCTATTGACATTTTTTGGATTTGCATTTGCATTCAGCTGGGATCCTCACTACTGCAGTCACACACACTCATGCACACACGATTATGCGCGCACACGCACAAGGACATACTCACAGTCTAGTTGCAGGGTGTGGTTACTGCTAATCATTGTGCACTCTTTGTCCATTAATTTGAAATAATCATTTTGCACCACTATTTCCCATACACTTATCCTAATTCAATTAGCACAACCACTTGTGTCTGCCGCTCCCCGATTAGCTGTGGAATGTAATGTCTTTATGTTCCCCTAATGACAAGCATATTGTTGGAGCATGATGGCAAATGAGCCAGGTGCCTGTTACAAAAGTAGAGAATGATGTGAGCTCAATAGAGGACAATCCTCTTCTTGAGCAGCCCCCCACCCCACCCACCCACCCCACTTCGCTGCCTCTACAGCCTCGCTTGAACTATCTTCTCTTTGGGATAGGTGGGACACGATAATTTAGCTGATGGGGAAAAACCTACTCGAATAACTATTTAGTAATTTTCAAAAGGCCCATCTAAATAATTGCAAATGCTGTGCATGCTTCCCACACAGTGCACAAGGTCCTGCTTTTACTGATTAATACGTAATTGAGCATATTTCAGTGTCAGTGGTGCTGAAGCTCAATGAACACAATGACTGGAGGACGGTTATTGCTTTCTCATGGCCTCTTGTGGTTGCTAATTTTGAAAGTGCTGTCTCTGTTAAGTTTTACGGATTTTGTATTTGGAATTTATTTATTGATTTATTCACAGAATTGTGTTTGAATTCATGTTTTATTTGTCTGTGATTGTGTTGACATGAGGGTGCCTCTGTGTATTTCGTGGTCACTTTCTGCCACTGGCAGTCAAAGCTCAAGGACAATATTTGAAAATCACAAAGACTCACATGACCTTAGCTCTTCGCATTCGCTAGATGAAAGAGGGTGTGGCCCTATTCCATTATTCCCTTGAAATATATGGACAAATGTTTGCACTTGTCGTTTATAGAAGTTAGTTTTGATGGTGCTATCATAAGAAAAAAGTGGGTTCAAAATTTGACATGCATTAGAATCCATCTGTGCTCTTTGATGTCTCAGATACTGGATGTGACTTGTGAGGTTGGGGTAGGAACCAGAAGCAGAGTAGGATTCAATTTTTGTCACAGGACTTGCTGGCATGAGGTTGTAGGTAACTATATATACACTTTCATCTCCTTCGCTCTCTTTTTTTCTCTCTCTCTCTCCGCACTCTCTCCCGCACTCACACAGACTGCACTCGCACATTGAGCTCTCACTATTATTAGCACAGTAAGAACAAAAGAATTTCTTTGGTAATCGAGCCAAGCTCAGGGGGTGTGTACAAGATGTCTGCCAAACAAATGTTTAAAGATTTTGTTTCCGTAAGTTTACCTCCGTCACGGGACTCGGACGCATTTAGCCATTAGTGGGACCTTCTGAAGATCCCTGTGCTGTCCTCTTCGAGTGTGGCACGCTGCCCCTTCTCTTTCCGGTAAGAAGACATTAAGATTGGCTCTTCCCAAATGTCAATTGAACATACCAACCACGAACAGTGTTTCTCAACCTTTATTGAATCAAGGTGCTCCTTTTACAGTAGAAAAGTTTCGTAGCACACCTCCAACCAAAAATATCACAAAAAGTATTCACACTGATCTAATGATGATCTTGTCTCAAATTACACACACACAAAAAAAAAACCTACTCTGTGAAAATATGGGCATTTTTAGTTTAACACAAATCTATTATTCTTTATTGTTCTATGAAAGGTGGATGTGCAGGTTTAATGTACCGCATGAATGTACCTCATGAAAGTGTTCTACCTGTCACTAAATGACACTGCCATAGATTGATAGATAAACACAAATAGAATTCTAATTAACAAATCATTTTTCAGGTAAATTACATTAAATTGGATAGTATCCCACTGCATCCCTGATGATCTCTCACGGAACAATCAAAACCGGCATGGGAAATGCAGCAGTGGTGTACATAAGCAAAACAACAGGATTAACAACAAAAAACAAAAATGCTCAGTGCATATATATATATATATACACACACACACATATATATACATATACACACACACACACACACACACACACACACACACACACACACACACATACACACACACATACACGTGTTTAGAGTACATACTTGACATAAAGTTGTGGAAAATGAAGTAAAAGGAAGAAGCAAAAACAGGAAGCTAGTGTGCCATGGAACCCTGGTTGGAAATGACTGCACGATGGCACATAATGAACGGATTGTCTCGAGCAAAATGCATTGGTGCAGTCATTGCCACTTGTGTGTCTGCCTTTGTGCAAACTCCAATTAATACTTCTCACGGCAAACTTCAAACAATCTAAATTGAACAATAATTTACTGTTTGTCAATCAAATAGCAACATTCCAAATGTTTTATATTTTTCTGTCATTAGATGTGCAAGTCTACTAAATGTTGAAACCAGGGTACAGGCAAGAGCTATTATATGCATGATCAGATGTTTTTGTTTAAGAATGACATGATAATATTTGACATGAGATATAAAATAATATTATTTGAAGCTTTTAGATTTTTTTTCAGTAAACAAGCATTTTAAATGGCTACACTAAGTGTTAATTCATTGTCAGTGTGTCTTGTGGACTGCGTCGTGCTGGGCTTCCACTTCACTGTGCTCCATTGTGCGAGCATTACGGGATGGTTGTCCCAACACGGAAAAACAAAAAAGAAAACATAAAAGAGGGAATTGAAAAGGAGATGTGGGATAATGATGATTCACGTGTTTATTTCTCACCTTCCTAACTCAGTTCGCTTTTCAACACATCTTCCCCGCTGCCCTTTTCCTCTCCACACCTTTTAATAAAGCAGATGGGTCTCTCATTTTGGAACCATAAAGCACTTCTGTGTGCCGAGTCAACACGCACTAGCCAGCAGGTAATTACTGGAACACACAAAAGAAGAAGAAGAAGAAGAAAGTTCTTTCGAGAAATTATCCAATCATCATTTTCACATCTGCTTATTCATTTTGCAGATTACCCTGAAGAATCTCGCCTTGTCATGCCTTCAGCCGCAATAGTCTTGGCATCTTAATTATCTTATCCCTTAGTTAAAGCGAAACAGTATCACATGAACGATGACATATTTAATTCAGTAGCATGCCACTAAATCTGTTGTGCAAAATCCGGTGAAACTTTACACATGGTGTATATTTAGTCCATCAACCTGATAGTAGAAATGGAAGAGGTATGATTACCTGCGACATT